ATCAAGACTTCAGGTTTCTGTGTGAGTATAAAGTATCAGATCATTGATGTTCAAAGATCAGTTCTGTCATGTTTATACGATTAAAACTGCTATATAAAAAGGTTGTGAACATTTATATGCATTTATCATCCACATACTGCTTATTAATTCACAGACTTATTGAACAATCAAGAATGGACACCAACCTATTTGTTCCTCAGTATCTTCATGTTTTATTCTGGATGGTTCTGGATCAGTCATGTCTTCAATCTCCTCTTTAATAAACTCCATCTTTAACAGTCACACAGATTTCAGCTTCTACTCCTGGAGTTTGTCCTTCTCTTGTAGGATGATGGGAATATTCCCAGTATTTATTGGTGAATTGTTGTGGGAGGGGCTTCACTGCAGGTGTGAACTGTGATCACTGTGTGATACTGACGCCCACAGGACCAGGGGCCTCATTTATAACCGTTGCATACGCACAAAACAGGCCCTGAAAGAGGCGTACGCCACTTCCGACGCATAAGTTGTGATTTATAAAAACAAACTTGACGGAAAAATATGCGCACCTGCACGCAAACTCTAACCCATGCGTACGAACGTTTTGGAGACGGAGCAGTTTGGCGACACCGAAGGTGAGCTGGAGTTAAATGTATTTTTGGTCACTTTTAGACAGAAAATCTAAAGAAAATTATACATAGGCTATACAGAAAGATAATACAAATATAATTTCACTCACCAAGCATATCACTTGAGGCAAATATTCATCCCTTCTTAAATGTCCGCGCCAGCGAGCGCGTTGTGCCGTTTAGTGAAACTAACGCCTATCTAACGACAGAGTCCTAATCATAAAAACAGTGCATGTTCACAATAACAGTTTAAATAAATAAAAGAATGATTTAAACTGTTTTACTTCTGATATAAACATTTAGATTAAATATGCCATTGTCATTGATGGAGTTAAACACTTAAACATGAAATCATTACTGAGAAGTTACAACATTTTTTATATTCAATAAATATAAATATTTGTTGTGGATGCAATGCTTTTGAACACTTTTCCTCTGGCATGCTGTGTTTTAATGTTTTAACTAAAGAGATAATTGCTTATAGCAGATTGTCTGAGAAAATAGTTTTGTGCAAATAATGCACAACAGTCTATCTGTTTCCATTAAAAATATAAATCAATAAAAAATACTATTTAGTCAGTGGAAAAGATTGTGAAAACTTTCTCTGAAATGTATTTTACACTATTTAATTTATTTATTCAAAAAGAAGGCAAGGATAGGCTACTAAATTATTTTTATTAATGTAGGCTAATGTGACGGCACATCTGTATTAGGCTATTTCATATTTTCCTAATGTCTATACCGTTAAACATGTTATCACGTGGATGAATAATCATATGCAAATGATATGCAGATGAGGATATGCATAGTAAAACTAGGCGTTGTAAGCTCCATATATGGTTATTTCGGGGAGGAGACGCGTGTACGCACAATCTTCCGCTGACTGGGATTTATCGGGATTTATAAAGTGAATTCTGCGCAGGTTCTGGCGTACGCACGGTTTTATAAATCTGAATATTTTTTTGCGTACGCCTTTTTTGGCTTTCGTACGCACAGTTTTATAAATGAGCCCCTGATCTGGAAAAATCAAAGACAAGATACTGAATTTATACCGGATTACTTTAACAGCAAAACACACGTGGTGCTTCAAATATATTTAGTTCAAATATAGAGCATTTTGATTGTTACATATTAGAAGTGTATAAAACAGCAGGTTACTTATGTAATGTTTATGTAACCCATAATATTATAAGGATGAAACAGGGCAGAGGTTATATTATTATCTAAACTAATCAGAAATCTAACATTGAATATGCAGACTGAATAAAGGAGGATTGTAGTATAAGTAACAATTAAAAAAATGTAATTCCTCATGTTGCTTGGGTAGAAAGTTGTTTTGAAACAACGCCAATGTCTGGTAACGTTATAAACTGAACAATGACAATAAAAATACTATTTAAACAACTTTATCGTTCAAATTATATATTTTTGACAAAAAAAATATTATAAAGAGCCTAATTAATGATTATGTAAGTAAAGTTAAACAAACTGAAAGAAAATGCAAATTCTCTCTCTGACAGAAGGTGGGGCTTGTGGAAAAGCAGAAATACAGTGGTTACTCCTGAACACAAGCAGCGCTGCGCTTATAAACACTACTTTATTAGGCATCACTGAGGAAAGATAAACGGAGATGCCATCAAAACCTTTATGAAGACAGTCATTTCCTTTCAGAGATAGCCTATACATTCAAATAAAAACTCAGATCTGAACTAATCACGTGAATGGTCTATTTCAGTGTCAGAAAGAGAGTTTGCAGGTTTGGTTTCTGTAGCCTTTAATAGTATTTTTAGTCATGTACTTTAAGTTGAGGAGTAAAACATTAAAAACACATTGATAGGTGATTAACACACAAAGTGATGATCCTGTAATTTGTCTGACACTGATGACGTGCTTGATGTGCCAAATTTACAGAAGATCTCAGACATCAGCATAATGAATGAGGTGAAAACAGGGACTAGCCTATTATTATGTAAAACAAAAGTGATGTGAAACACTGCAGATCACTGATTGGTCAGAGAGAATCATCACTACCAGTTGTTGGATTTGCGACACGAGACACCAAACCCGTTAGAAAATATTTAAATATATATATATATATATATATATATATATATATATATATATTGCATAGACGGGAAAACAGCATTTTTGCTTTTTAATATTTATTCCTTTTTTATCTATCATTTTATTAATCATTTTGATGATTATGGCTTACAGCTTATGAAAACCTTTTCACAATATTCAAGCCATAATCATCAAAATAATAACAAATAAAGGCTTGAAATATCTCACTTTGCATGTAATGAGTCTATAATATATTAGTTTCACCTTTTAAGTTGAATTACTGAAATAAACGACCTTTTGCATGATATTCTAATTTTTCGAGTTTTATCTGTATGCATTTGGCAGACACTTTTATCCAAAGCGACTTACATTGATCAATTGAAGTTACATATTTACATTCACATCAGGTCTGTGATGTAGGCATATCTGGAAGTAAGTCATGTTACAGCCCTCCCCATTGGGACAGTCATGTTATTTCAAGTTTTTTTTAAATAATGAAGTGAAAATTTGGAGATGTTAATAAATTGTTTTGTCCTGTACATCCATATCCGTACACAACTTAATGCAGATGTTTTTACTGGATTATTTTAAACCATCTGTAAATAAAACAAAGTTGATTGAATTCTTTTCTCTTCTTTATTGTTTAGTAGTTTTCAGCTCCTTTTACTTTGGTAAACTGAAGCTGTTACCACATTGTTTGTCCCACAGTATAATAAATATAATAATAAAGAATGACACTGGACAACAACCTGTTTGTAAGAAGATATAAGACATGATCATCTACTACAGTATTACTGTTTAAACCAACTTATGTGATTAAATCAAATTCTGTCTCAATCAATCATAGAGCAATCAAGACAAAATTATTTCCTAATAATTTCATGTACAGTTAGAGCACATAAAACAATATTTTATTTACATTATAAGAGTTGTTGACTAATAAAGCTTTAACTCTTAATCATTTCAACAAATTTCATGGCATTAAACTAAATGACATTTTGCTTTTGGAAGCAACATATTTTGTTTATATAATGTTAGTATTTGACATAAATTAATTATGTTCACTGTGATGACTTCTGACATTTTTTCAGATGTGTGTGAAGGCTTGATAAATGTCTAAAACTTTCTCCACACTCAGTACAGTAGTACGGCTTCTCTCCAGTATGAAGTCGCTTGTGTGATTTCAGGTGCTCCAACCGAGTGAAACTCTTGTCACAGTATGAGCACTTGTGAGGTCTTTCTCCAGTATGAATTCTTTGGTGCTGTTTCAGATGTACAGATGCAATATAACTCTTCCCACAATCCAAACACACATGATCTCTCACACCGGTGTGCGTTTTCTGGTGCTGTCTATAATGAGTCATGTGTAAAAAACTTTTTCCACAAAAAGAACACACATAAGGCCTTTCATTTGTATGAATTTTTAGATGTTTTTGAAGACTTGATGACAGATGAAAATTTTTACCACACTGATCACAGTTAAATGGCTTTTCTCCAGTGTGAACTCGCAGATGATTTCTGAAACCTGGTGAATGTTTAAAACTCTTCTCACACTGAGTACACTGGTACGGCTTCTCTCCAGTATGAACTCGCTCGTGTGATTTCAGTTGTCCCAACTGAGCGAAACTCTTGTCACAAACTGAACACTTGTAAGGTTTTTCTCCAGTATGAATTCGTCGATGTTGTTTCAGATGACTAGATGTAGTAAAGCTCTTCCCACAGTCACAACACACATGATCTCTGACTTCATCATGTGTTTTCTGGTGCTGTTTAAAACTGTTCAGCCGTGAAAAACTCTTTCCACAGAGAGAACACACATAAGGCCTCTCATCTGAATGAACTTTCAGGTGATGATTTAGATGTGATGATGAAATAAACTTTTTACCACACTGGTCACAGTTGAATGGTTTTTCTCCAGAGTGAACGCGCAAATGATAACTGAGACTGGATGAATGAAAAAAACTCTTTCCACACTGAGAGCAGGTGTGCAGCTTTTTGCGTTTTTCTCTTTGATTTTTTAAGTTACAATGTTCCTCCTCAATTTCATTCAGTTTATGTCCTTGCTTCACTTCCATCCAGTCTAAAATAAAATAGTATGTGGTTAAAATCAATCCCAGTGAACTAGATTTAATAGCAGTAGATATGTCGGTAATATCAACTATCAGATCTTTGATGTGCCAAAGGTTAGTTTAATCACTCAAATTAATACAATCAAAATGTGGATGACAACATGCAAGATCATGCACAACTGTATCATAAATCTGTTGAATTTACGTTTTAATGTTTCTCAGCAGTCAACAGTATGAAGAATCAAGAATGGACACCAACCTGTTTGTTCCTCAGTATCTTCATGTTTTATTCTGGATGGTTCTGGATCACTCATGTCTTCAATCTCCTCTTTAATAAACTCCATCTTTAACAGTCACACAGATTTCAGCTGCTACTCCTGGAGTTTGTCCTTCTCTTGTAGGATGATGGGAATATTCCCAGTATGTATTGGTGAATTGTTGTGTGAGGGACACCAGATCTGCAAAATGCATACTTTAATTATATTAAATGTATAATAAATTCATTAAATGTTTTCGGTTGGAAATATGGAGTATTTTGACACAGTTAGATATTAATTGAATTTAAAACAAGGTTTGTTTAATTGTTGTCCGAAGTCTGACAGAAATAGCAGAGCCATCAAGCATCTTTGTCTCCAAAAGTTCCCTATTTTCACCTCAGGATGTCCGAGATCTTCTGTAAAGTGGCACCTTAAGCACATTTTATTGGTGTCAACAGGCTGAAATAAAGTCTGTGAAAAACCCTGCCAACATATTATTACCCTCGAATGTAATAATAAACCAGGACACACAACACATTACATTAGGCTAGTACTTAAACGCGTAAACTATGGAGCGGATTAATTCTAAACTCTGTAATATGGGAAAATCTCTCACCGGCAGACTGGAAATATACGGCATCCGAAAAAATTATTCCACATTTTTCCTTCATTCACGATCGTTAACAGCATCCGTAACTGGTGAAATATTCAGCCACTGTTGCTAATTATTTTCAATGGAAGTAGCTAGCCTAATAGCGTCAAATGCTAATTAGCATACCATTACGTGGTATTTGCATTCTGCCGACTGTCAGCTCCTTCAAAATAAACTTGTTTTCATCTCTATATTTTTCTGTTTCTGTTGTGAGGCAACGGGAAGAATATGAAATAGTGACTGAAACGAGACCCATATACGTTAGCTTACATGTTAACCAGCAGTCACTACTAAGCAGCTGCTCTTACCTAAATCCTAGAGACGTTGTCTGACAAAATCACTATAGACATAAGATAAAACAGTTGCTTTGATTTCTGCTATATTTGCACAAAACTATCGCTCAGGTAAAAAGCAACAGAATATCTATTTTCTTTCTTCTGACAGCCTCGACTGAATATCTGCTCCAGTCAGCCTCATCTCTCTACTCTCTTCTGCGCATGCTCAGTACGCGCGGTCATTCTTCTTAAAGGGGCCGCATATTGTTAGGGCGTCATGAACTGCATCTTTTTTAAATTCTCTAAAACCCACTTATAATGTTATCAAGACATCCTAATTTAGATGTAATATTTTCTATCCTGTTTTTAACCCTCTCTTTCAAACACATGTTTTAATGGGCATTCAAGACACTGCTATGATTGGGTAACAGTTTTGCTAATTAAAATATTTATCAAAATCGAGCCATTACACATGTGGAATTGTTTTGAAAACTTCAGAGGTTGAAAAATATTGTAAAATAGTTTAAACATTTGCCAACATGTGAAACATTTATTACATATTTAAGTACTGAGTTAACAGAGTTATAGTTGACAGGATAACTGTGTAAACAGAAATTAAAAAAACTGAACATTCAACGTTTTATGAATGATACTAAAACAGCTACTGATGTCTCAATTAAAAATTAATAATAGCCATTCAACATTATAGTTCAATTGAAATATATCAATGTTTTTTTAATCATTTTATTATAATTTTTACCATCCATAATTTTTTTCCATAACATTTAAAAAAATTTTTTAGCCTTCAATAAATATAACAAATTTTAATTTAATTGAACTTAAAGCAATGTTCACATAACTCCAAATGAAAAAATGTCATATTTACCTGTGCCCTGTGTGTGAAATATAATGAATTAAAACAAAAAAGTGAAATGAAGCAAACAAACGAACAGTGTCTTACTGACACTGAATCAACATACACCGATGGTAAATTTTCTATAAATCCTAATCGTTTGTTAACAATGTGTATTCATTACTTCAATGAGCTCATTGTTAAAATTAAACAATAAATTAAATTAATACATTAGCTAACTGCATGATTTGTATATGTACATTTCTAAAATACATAACTTGGACATAGTCACCTCTGATAACAAATCACTCTAAATTGTAATACAAACACGCATTTTCTGTAAAAATGCTTTGAAACGATATGTATTTATATTGTACTATATAAATAAATGTGAATTGAATAGAATTGACTCAAGTTCATCCACGCTTTCTTAATGTTTGGGTTGCAAATACTTTTTTTCTACAACTAGGCACAGCAAAACGTCTTGTAATCCTCAGATTGAGTTGAAGGTGGTCCTTCATCCAGCAAGAAATGTCTGTCAGGCAGGCTGAGATACGGGCATCTACCGTCGGATTCTCTGGCTGGAATGAGAGGTAGAGTTGTGTGTCATCAGCATAACAGTCATAGGAAAAAATATGTTTCTGAATGACAGATCCTAGTAACGGCATGTAGATGGAGAAGAAAAGTGGTCCAAGCACTGAGCCCTGAGGCACCCCAGAGGCTAGATTTTGTGACTTACACTGAGAAGTAAGACTTGAATCATTGTGCAGTTCCTGAGATGCTATTCACCAAGAGGATTGAAAGGGACATTTACAAAAATGCTCATATTTAGGAAAACAACACTCTTGTATTGGTCCTACATCATATAAATATAAAAAAACAGGAAAAACTCATTACATGGGTTTTTTGACCTTATATCTTGAATTATGATGGCATTTTTTGTATTGTTATGATATTTCTGCCCTTGTGTGACAGGACACAGTAAGAGTAGCGGACAGGAGATAAATTACACTATTTTAGTGGAAACTTAATTTAAATGATCAATCTTACTAAAGAAATGTGACAAACACATAAAATGTATCCATATTTTTCTAAATGCTTTTGAACTAAAAGCCTGAAAGAATTGTTTGTATTTTTGCCTCTTTTTATGATACAAGACTTGATCATTTGGTTGACAATAATACTGTACATCCAAAACATATTTATCACAGTATTAAGATAGAATTATCATTAATGTGATTAAAACTATATAACTCATTATCTGTGTTCATTAAAATAGATCAATCAACACAAGATGTTGTTTCTGTTTTTTATTTCTAATAATTGCATGAACTATCAGAACACAATATATTACACTTAATAAACAATTAAATTACATAAATATATTTAATTAAAGTAATAGCTATTTAGCACACAATTCACCCTGACAGAAAAAAAAAACTTAAATTATTTTATTTACACTAAGAGTTGTTCACCGGTGAAGTTTCAACTCTTAAGTCTTTCTAGTTTTCACCAAACTCACAAAATTAAACAAGTTAAACTTTTAGGAAAAACACCATATTTTATCGCACACTGTTTACTTCTGGGGCATTTTACATGAAAACAAATGATGCTCACAACATTTTTTCATATGCTTAAGAAGGCTTGGTAAATGTCTAAAACTCTTCTCACACTCAGTACAGTAGTACGGCTTCTCTCCAGTATGAACTCGCTCGTGTGTTTTCAGGTTTCCAGACTGGGTGAAACTCTTGTCACAATATGAGCACTTGTGAGGTTTGTCTCCCGTATGAGTTCTTTGGTGCCGTTTCAGTTCACCAGATGTAGCAAATCTTTTCCCACAGTCACAGCACACATGATCTCGCACATCATCATGTGTTTTCTGGTGCCGTTTACAACTTTCCAGTCTTGAAAAACTCTTTCCACAGAAAGAACACATGTGAGGCTTTTCATCTGAATGAACTTTCAGATGTTTTTTGAGATATGATGATGAATTAAAATCTTTCCCACACTGATCACAGCTTAATGTTTTTTCTCCAGAGTGAACGAGCAGATGAACACTGAGACCTGATGCATCTTTGAAACTCTTCTCACACTTAGTACACTGGTACGGCTTCTCTCCAGTATGAACTCGCTCATGCACTTTCAGGCTCCCAGAATGAGTGAATCTCTTGTCACAGTATGAGCACTTGTGAGGTTTTTCTCCAGTATGAATTTTTTGGTGCAGTTTCAGATAGTCAGCTCTAGTAAAGCTCTTCCCACAGTCACACACATGATCTCTCACTTCATTATGTGTTTTCTGGTGCTGTTTAAAATGATCCAGCCTTGAAAAACTCTTTCCACAGACAGAACACATGTGAGGTCTTTCATCTGAATGAACTTTCAGGTGTTTTTTGAGATGTGATGATGAATGAAAACCTTTACCACATTGATCACAGTTGAATGGTTTTTCTCCAGAGTGAATGCGCAGATGATTCCTGAGACTGGATGCTTGAGAAAAACTCTTTGCACACTGAGAGCAGGTGTGCTGTGTTTTGGCTTTTTCTCTTTGAGCTCTTAAATCACAATGTTCCTCCTTAACTTCATCCAGTTTATGTTCTTGCTTCACTTCCATCCAGTCTAAAACAAAATATTTTGTGGTTAAGATCAGTTCAGGTGAACATGATTTAATAGTAGAAGGCGATAGAGATCAGGTATCTGTATAAAGTGTCAAATTTTCAATTAGGCAAAGGTTAGTTCTGTCATTCTTGTGTGTATTAATACAATCAAAATGTGCATGACAAAAGCTATGCAAGATCATTATCATTTAGATACACTTCTATATCTTAAATCTGTTAAACTTCAGTTTTAATGTTTCTCAGCAGTCAACGAGGAAGAATCGCAACACAGGCTCATTGGAAAAACCTTCCTGGGGCAACATTTCTGCAAAGCATGTTCCAATACATACATATCGCTGCAGTTTCCAACAGAAATGAACGAGGCAGTAAAACAGCAAACACTTTTAATCCTTTAAAAATATATATATATTAGGGGCAAATTATGCATTAATAAAGACTTAATTTCACACAGCTCCTTGCTAAATATTATTTAATGACCACAAAACACTTTTTACCGCAGTGCATAATTTGTCAACGAATACATATTGGAGTTTGCATCACATATCCAGCTACATGTGTTTGACTTTTCTGAGATGATAAGCTTGATCGGAGGCTAAACTAATACAGAATTGTACTTGTGAAGCTAAGATCTTGAGTACGAATCCAATCAAACACGAGTTATGACAAAAGAGCTCAAAGACGACTAGAAAGAAGCTAAAATGGCATAGTTGCGTTTATGTCACATTTGCTTTTTTTATCACTATCGCGTAGGTTTAGGGTTTAATGCAGGTTTACGCTATTTTAAAACCTGATGGACATTAACCTTTTACCGCCACTCACCGGACATTCAATTTAAAACTGCCATGATACATTCAAGCACCAAAGAAATAAAACTTTGCAAGAATAGTGTTAATTTCTTTCAGATAAATCGCAAAACGCTCACGATGCAACGTAATATAATATTGCAGATATTTTTTTTTTTGCACAGATACGTTTTTCCAATGATCCTGGGCTGAAAAATCAAGAATGGACACCAACCTGTTTGTTGCTCAGTATCTTCATGTTTTATTCTGGATGGTTCTGGATCACTCATGTCTTCAATCTCCTATTTAATAAACTCTATCTTTAACAGTCTCACAGGTTTCAGCTGCTACTCCTGGAGTTAGTAGGATGATGTGAATATTCCCAGTAATAACAGATCTAACAAATAAAAAAAATAAGCTACTAAATATACTGAAATACTAGTTATATTTCAATTAGGTGATCATATTATGTTTTCTGTTGGAAATATGAATTATTTTGATACAGTTAGATATTAATTGCATTTAAAACAAGTTTTTGTTTCATTTTCGTTCAAAGTTTGAGCCATCATTTTTAACTGAGCTGCTAAAAAGTCTAGTCTCCAATAGTTCCCTGTTTTCACCCTCATTATTGTGGTGACTAAGATCTTCTGTAAAGTGGAGCATTAAGCACATTTTATTGGTGTCAACAGGCTAAAACAGAGTCTGTGAAAAACTCTCTGCCAACATAATATTACACTCTAATTAACAATAAACCAGGACAACCAACGCATTTCAATACATAAACACTAAAACACGTACACTCTGGAGCTGGTTAATGTAAACTCTGTAATCTTGTAACATCTCTCACCTGCAGACTGGAGATAGGCCTATACGGCATCCGAAGAAAATATATCACATTTGTCCTTGAATCACGATCGCAAGATAACGTCTTGCGCTAATTTGCATATCGCTTACGTCGTATTGGAATTCTGCCGACTGCCAGCCCTTAAAAATAAATTTGTTTTCATCTCTATATTTTACTGTTTCTGTTGT